TTCAGATCTAAAGACATACACAGACCGAAAGTGAAGGGATGGAAAAAGATATCCCATGCAAACGGAAATGAAAAGAAAGTTAGAGTAGCAATACTCACACCAGACAAAATATCAGACTTTAAAACAAAGACTGTAATAACAGACAAGGGCATATAATCATAAAAAGGTCAATCTAACAAGAAGACATAACATTTATAAATATATACGCACCCAATACAGGGGCACCAAGATATATAAAGCAAATATTAACAGACCTGAAGGGAGAAACTGACAGCAATACAATAATAGTAGGGGACTTTAACACCCCCACTTACATCAATGGATAGATCATCCAAACAGAAAATTAATAAGGAAACATCAGCTTTAAAATGACACATTAGACTAGAGGGACTTAATAGATATATGCAGAACATTCCATCCAAAAGCAACAGAATAAACATTCTTCTCAACTGCACATGGAACACTCTCCAGGATAGATCACATGTTAAGTCACAAAACAAGTCTCAATAAATTCAAGAGCATTGAAATCACATCAAGTATTTTCTGTGAGCACAATCAATTATAAGAAGACTGGAAAAAACACAAAAATGTTTGAGATTAAACAACATGCTGCTGGGGGCACCTGGGTGGCTCAGTCGTTAAGCATCTGCCTTCGGCTAGGGTCATGATCCCAGGGTCCTGGGATCGAGCCCTGCATGGGGCTGCCTGCTCAGCGGGAGGCCTGCTTCTCCCTCTCCCACTCCCCCTGCTTGTGTTCCTTCTCTCTCTGTGTCTCTCTCTGTCAAATAAATAAATAAAATCTTTAAAAAAAAAATAACATGCTGCTGAACAACCATTGGGTCATCAAGATAATCAAAGAAAATCAATAAAAAATACCTAGAGACAAGTGAAAACAGAAATTACATAGCAAAACCTTTGGGATGATGCAGCAAAATTCTTTCTAAGAGGGAATACATAGCAATACAGGCCTACCTCCAGAAACAAGAAAAATCTCAAACAATTTAACTTTACTCCTAAAGGAGCTAGAAAAAGAACAAATGAAGCCTAAAGTCAGTAGAAGGAAGGGAATAGTAAAGACTAGAATGGAAATAAATGAAATAGAGACTAGAAAGAAATTGGGAAAGATCCGTAAAACTGAGAGCTGGTTCTTTGAAAAGGTAAACAAAGTTGACAAACCTTTAGCTATACTCACCAAGAAAAGAAAGGGAGAAGATTCTAATAAAATCATAAATCAAAGAGAAGTTACAACTGACACCACAGAAATATGAAGGACCATAAGAGACTATGAACAATTATACACCAACATAGAGGACCACCTAGAAGAAATAGACAAATTCCTCAAAACATACAATCTTCCAAGACTAATTCATGAAACAATAGAAAATCTGAATATACCAATTACTAGTAAGGAAATTGAACCACTAATCAAAAAATTCTCAACAAACAAAAGTCCAGGACCAGAGCAGCTTCACTGGTAACTTCTATCAAACATTCAAAGATTTAATACCTATCTTTCTCAAACTCTTCTAAAAAAGGGGCACCTGGGTGGCTCAGTCAGTTAAGCATCTGCCTTCAGCTCAGGTCATGATCCCAGGGTCCTGGGATGGAGCCCCACGTCGGGCTCCCAGCCCAGCGGAGAGTCTGCTTCTCCCTCTGACCCTCCCCCCTCTTGTGCTTTCTCTCACTCTCTCTCTCACTCTCTCAAATAAATAAATAAAATCTTAAAAAAAAAAAAGACTTCTAAAAAATGGAAAAGGAGGGAACACTTCCAAACTCATTTTGTCATTATTCTGATACCAAAACCAGATGACACCACAAAAAGAAAATTAAAGGACTGTATCATTAATGAACATTGATGCAAAAATCCGAAACAAAATATTAGCAAACCAAATTCAATGATACATTAAAAGGGATCATCCACCATGATTAAGTGGGATTTATTCCAGGGATATAAGGATAGTTCAACACCTGCAAATCAATCCACGTGATTCACCACTTTGACAAAATGAAGGATAAAAAGTATATGATCATCTCAATAGATGCAGAAAAAGCATTGACAACATGGATGGACCTTGAAGATATTATGCAAAGTGAAGTCAGATGGAGAAAGGCAAATACCGTATGATTTCACTAATGTGGAATCTAAAAACATAAAACAATGAACAAACAAAACTAAAGCAAACTCATAAATATGGAAAACAGATTGGTGTTTACCACAGGGGAACAGGGGTCGGGGGGTGGACAAAATGTGTAGAGGGGGTCAATTGTATGGTGATGGATGGTAGCTAGACTTTTAGTTGTGATCACTTTGTACTGCATACAGATGTTGAATTATCGTGTTATATACCTGAAACTTATATATAATCTTATAAACTTATATAAAATACATGTTTTTCCTCAATTAAAAAAAAAACTCAACAAATTATTGTTCTAAATTCCCAGTTGTTTCATTTACCTGAGAATTTACTGCTAAAGCATCAATACTTTAAAATTCATTCTAAAACTCTTTGATGAAAATTCTTGTAAAATAGATCAGACTTTTTAGTATGTCCTTTTCAACCTTGGATGCAGTATACTGAATCTTATTTACCTTTTTCTGTGTGACTCAGGGCCATAAGGATCAACCTTATTTATTGTACAGTGTTGGGATACAGTGATGTTATTATGGGGTGAGGAGCCATTTGCTCCTCTATTAAATAATGTCTTTGTGCCGGCATTCAGGTTTTCTGCCTCCTCTCCTGCTCTCATTTTCTTTATTCTCAGTGTGCCTGCTGGTAGTAGCTTTTTACTGCCCTCTGTTTTGGGGGTCTAATCTACTGATGGAACCCAACCAACCAACTTCCTAGAATCATCTCAAGTGAAATATAAATAGATTCCAAGGGACAATCTATGGAATTCTCCAGTGAGTGTCCAGGAATATTAGTGTGTGGACTTTGTCACATCCTTGCTGCCTCTTAGAGGCTTGTTTTCCTCATTTCTTGGTTTGGGGCAGGGTTCCAGATGGATGAAGTGTTACAGTGCAAAAGTTCTCTGTGGAATGGAGAGAAAGGCTAAGCTAACTATACTATTCTATATTCTTTCAGTTTTGTGACTCCTTTGCAAAAAAAGTCAGATCTTTCACTTTAATAAAAAAAAAATCACAATTCTTAACCTAAGCAATATTTTTTTCTGTTGTAAGCTTAAATCGTACCTCCAATATAATAAACAGTAAGCATATGGATGATTCACTTCCTTTCAAAAAGGATTATAGAGAAGACAATGAATGATTAATATGAACAATCTGTCATGCCTCCAAAATAGCTATTATGCAAATAGTAAGGAAGGTTTAGTCAACCTCCATCACTTCTTTCCTCTTCATAATAATACAGATATAAAGAAATATTCTTATTTGTATTCTCTCTGTGACTCAACCATGCTCTGTATCATAACACTGTCTAAACCTCAGCCCTCTTAGATGTTAGTCTTTTCTTAAGTTTCAATGAGAGCACTTTTTCACTTTTTTTATACAACAGTGGATGGTGAGGATTCGTCATGTGTTATCAGGAGTAGCACTAAAACATGGTCTGCAACTTCCAGTGGAGTAGACTCTCTTTAAAAGTAACACCTGGTAGACATTTCACTCAAGTATAAGTAAATCTTTATTTGATCATTATTTCAGTTTATAGCCAAATATGAAAATAACTCTTTTGTTTTTTTAAAAAATAATTTTTAAAAATCTCTAGAACTAGTCTTCTTTAAGTGTTCATGTGTTAAGAAATCACTTTTTAAAGGTTTATAATTAAAGCACACCCTGTTATCTGTAAAGACAAATTAAATCAGCTGCCTGGCTTAAGAACCAAGATCTTCATGTTGCCACACACTGTTTGGGCACTAATTTTCTCTTGGCCTTCCCCTGGGAGGATTTTTGCAATTTTTTCCCCCTGACAAGTTTTATTGCACAGTAGGCCAGGATGCTGACTTCTTAAACACAATTTAGAGAGAAAACCTTCAATCTTTTGGCGGTATCTATTGGAAGATTTTTTAAATGCCTTTTTAAAAACAAAGCTGTACCTTTCTGAGATTAAATATATTTTTCCTAACATATGGAAACAAACTGAATTTAGACTGGTAATCGAATGAGTGTCAATTTGAGAAGTACATCTTACCTTTTAAATTGGATTAGGCATAGATGTGAATATTTTATATGCTGTACAAACTCTGAATTGCTAAATTAGATGCCGGTGCAATTTGTTATAACTCTCAAAAATACAAGAACTCAAAACATTAACTGAATTGTTTTCTTTTAAACCTAAAAACCAATCTTGAAACATCTGGATCTCTTGAAATTCATTTCCATTTAAACTTCCAAAGAGTTCAATAACAGTCATGTTTAGGTCGCTGTCATTCTAATCTAGAGGCGTACCTTTAGGTTGATTTATGGTTGCTTGATCAACAGAACAAGATCTTGGCCTCAAGTTTCCATGTAGTTCTCCATTTTTAAATGATTTATAATGTTAAGCCTATGAACATAGGCAATTTTTACTACCTCTACTTTCTCTCCTTCTATTTCCCATTGGTTTCTTTATCTCTTAACTATCCTTTCCTGATGAGCAGTTGGATACCGATGTTAATGAAGCAAAAGTCATTGATTCAGTCCTGATGAGGATCACTCAACTTTCCTTTTGCCCCAGGCTGCCTTGCTGCCCTTATTATGACCAACCCACCCCTGTAACTGTACCTTCAGTCACATCAACCAATTTTTATTCAGCCCTAGACAAAGAATACTGTCCATGGTGTTGGCTCTACCTGAAAAACATGGCACATTCATTTAATTCCATGTTGCAGTATAAAAGTTGAATTGTAGAGCAGGATTGTCCATTCACAGTGAACAGCTGGAGCTTTTCCCTTGCGCAGGCTCAAGGCCCTGGTTTAAGGCTACAGTAATGAATCCCAAAGTAAGGAATTCTTACTTCATTAATTTCTGTCAGGAAATAATCATTGCCTTGTTTTGGATCTTCTAGGAACCAAAGAGGTTGTTGTAAATGTGGATGATGATGGAGTAATTTCACTGAACTTTGAATGTGATCAGATGGCTCCAAATTCTCAGTTCAACTGGTCCAAAGATTATGTATCCACTGAGGACTCTCCACGATTAGAGGTTGAAAGCAAAGGCAACAAGTATGTACTGTTTCAATCTTAATAATGGGTTTCCTTTTCATGATAGGAAAGTGAAGTAAGCTCGTTGCCTTCTATTTCAAATACTTAGTATAAGGGGATGAAATCACAAATATTTTATATCTGGTCATGTAAAAAGTAATAACCAATGTCAGCCTTAAAAAATAACAGTCCTTATAAAAATACTTTTCATGTTATTTCAGTTAAAAAGCTTTCCCATATATTATCTCATTTGTGATGTTAGAAAAGCTTTGACATAAAATCAGCTTTAATGATGATTCTCGTTATTTTATGAAATTTTGTAATCTTAAAGTAATGGTGAGGATGCTTATGGGGAGAGAGCAAGGAAGAACATGCTACTTGCTGGTTCAAGTTATGGTGAATTAAATGGGCTAGGTATAATCTCTTCTGCTTTTTTCACCACCACTTATGAGTGACATAATAACACACTGGAAAGAACTCTGTATGGGAAGCACAGGATAGATGAGTTCGAATCCCAGCTCGACCTGGGGCAGCTTTTAACTTCCATGGGCCTTGGATTTCTTTTTCTGTAAAATGGGAGAGAGCAGAGGAGATTAATTTTGTGATCAGTTACTTCCTTTTACATCCAAGAATCTAAGTTTTCTTTTACTCTGCCTTGCTTAGCATATTGACTACCATATTGGATTGCATTTGGTAAAGCAAAATGCTTTTAAGTATTATTTTTATTACAAAGAAGCCCAAAATATCTCAGAAATAAAGAAATAGTAATTTTGTTGGAGAATGGCAAGGACATACTGAATATAATTAAAAGACATTTTTCTGTCAGTGTGCTATAAAGTCCTTGAAGTAAAACATAAATTTCGTGGGGCACCTGGGTGGTTCAGTCGGTTAAGCTTCTGCCTTCGGCTCAGGTCATGATCCCAGGGTCCTGGGATTGAGCCCCACCTTGGGCTCCTTGCTCAGCGGGGAGCCTGCTTCTCCCTCTGCCCCTCCCCCTGCTTGTGCTTGTGCTCTCTCTGTCAAATAAATAAAAATAAAACCTTTAAAAATATATAAATTTGGTCAAAGAAAAGACAAACTGTAAAATTTTCTTCTGATATGTGCACTTTACTAACATTTATATATTTGGCTGATCTTAGACACTGACTAGCAACATCACTTACCAAAGTTAGAAAATACAGTGAACTAAACCACTGACCCATTCACTTATTCATTCCACAAATATTTATTAAGCAAGCACATATTATGCTGGAAGACACAAAAGGACATGAACCAGATCTTGTCCTTAACGGTACAATGACTATATAGTAGAGACGTAGGGATAATAAAATAGGCAATGCCAATGCAGTATGATAAGCTCAAGAAGGAAAGTGCAGGGGATGACATAAAGGAGGCACTTGGAGTTGCCAAAAAAAGGTTCTGCCCTGTGGGGGAAGATATTTTTTAGGTTCCCCAGCAAAGGCAAATAAGCTAAAAATACCTTTGTTGGGGATGGGTATTGATATGCAACATAATTTGGGGATGGGATATTTGTACCAGCTCCCCACTCCTGTCATCCCACCCCCGATCCCTGGGAGGAGGTCAAGAAAGTCTTCCTAGAAACAGCTTAAATGAGCAGGTTTCAGGTCAGTAGGGGAGATGGGAACAAGTGCTACCAGTGAAGGGAGTATCCTGTGCAGACACCTAGATACAACACAAGACATGGGCTTATAGACCCCGCACAGCCTCCCTTCTTACAAGAGTATTCTGTTCCGCAGAACGAAAATGACCTTCAAGGACTTGGGGACGGAAGACTTGGGCATTTACTCCTGCGATGTAACAGACACTGATGGAATAGGGTCAAGCTACTTGATCGATGAAGAAGGTAAGTTCAAAATCATTCCATTTATTGGGGCACCTGTTGGCTCAGTCGGTCAAGCGTCTGCCTTGGACTCAGGTCATGATCTCAGGTCCTGGGATCGAGCCCCATGTAGGGCTCCCCGCTGAGCAGGGAGTCTGCTTCTCCCTCTGCCTCTGCCTGCCGCTCCCCCTGCTTGTGCTCTCTGTCTCTATCTAATAAATAAATAAAAATCTTTAATAAAAAAAATAAAATCCATTCACAAGTCTAACTCTGCTTTGATTCAGCAGTAATCCTCTAGGATCAAGAGACTTTCGTTTTAGTTGTTCAAGTTTAATTGTTCTTTTTTTCTCCCTACAGAGCTGAAACGTTTACTAGCTCTCAGCCAAGAACACAAGTTCCCAAGTAAGTGTCCACAGTACATCCACAGAGTTTAGCAGTCCTACTGGGTGGTGACTTGTGGAATAGGTCAGGCGACAACTCTGACAGGATTAAGAAGCTCTTAAGAACACATAATGGAACATACACTGGTGGCTACAAATGCACTTTCCAGAAGGGCTGCTTTTATCTTGGCCATTGTTCTAAAGAGATACAAATACTAACATAGAAAATACATCCCATGCTGTTACGTAGTGAAGTGTCAGGTTACACAGGTGTAATAGCTGAGTAGTTAAGTTCTTCACTTTTTGCCTATGTACTTTGGAATCCTATATATTATATGATACTGGATACATGAATCCTCATGTTTTTTAGACAAACCAATCTCTTCCTAAGCAATTTAATGTTAGCACTTAACAGAAGAATCATACTTTTAAATAAAGATAATCTAAAGACATTATCTACTATTTTAAACTCCTGAAAAATGAGGTAAAGATGCCCTAGCCAGAAAAAGAATCCCTCTGAACTATCTACAAACTCTTCCATAAAGCACTTTCCACATAAAAGATTAAATTTCACAGTTGACACCTAAGAGAGAGAAGTCTGAAATGATACTAGGAAAGTTCCACTGACCTGATACGTTCTCTTGCCATTGATATCTATTGGCCAAACTAGTGGATTATCCAGAAAGTTATACCCTGGAGTTTGAGAAAACAAATGGAGAGTGATAATACACATTCACTCTTTTAAATCAGGAATTTTGTTTTGTTTTGTTTTGTTTTACTCTTTAGTCCCTAAAATACAACTCCTTCACCAATACAGACTTTTCAGGAACTCAGGGAACTATACCATGACTCCACACTATAGGCAAAACCCTGTATGTTTGTATATGTACATTTTTCTAGGAGGAGGGTCTGCAGCTCTCCTGAAATTCCCAGTGAAGGCTCTGACTCAAAAATAAACACACACTGCTCTGGAACTAATCGCCTGACTTCTTTTCCATCCCCAAGGAATCTTGTTGCATCCTGAGGCTGAGTGTTAGTGACTATTGGCCTCAGTTGTTTTGTTCTCAAAACCAACGTTGTTCAACAAAGAGGCACAATGGGGTGCCTATGGGGTGTGGGTGTAGAATACAGACTTTCTGAATTCTGGGAGAGAACCATTTCTCATCTGTATGCTTATTCACCATAAAACTGGAAAAGTAAGACTATGAATGGTATCTTCAAAGTTATTATTACTTTTTAATTGCATGGAAGGTAGAAGTTTGGCTTGTATTCTCTTTGTTCTGTACTTTTGACCCACTCTATGACCTTAGCAACTCAATTTTAATTTCCCTATGCCTTAGTTTCTTTTCTAGAAATGGCTGTTGTAATCATTTATAGCAACCTACTGTATAGAGATGCTGTGAGAGGTCCTTGAACTTTTCAGGAAAAATATAAATATTGATGGAAACAACAGTGATCCTCAAAAAACCCACTTGTAGAAGATCTGTCTGCGAGCATACAGGATGCTCTACCTTCACGTCCCCAGCGATGTGAAGTAGGGAGTGTAGGAGAGGGTCACTATGTTGAACACAGCCAGACTCCATTAGTGATCAGACTGCCTCCTCCCAAACATTGGTGGAAATGGAGAGAAACCGCAGCATCCACTAATCTAGTCAGACAGTAAACATTGGCAAAGTGTCTAGGCAAGAGCTGGTCCAAACAACATTTACATTTAGCTTAAAGGATGGAGATGAGACAACATGGGGTGTTACTGTTGAATTGGAGGTGCCCAAGCCTCCCTGATGTTCAGTGATCATATGGACTTGGAGACAGTACTTGTCTGATGTCACTGTCACATATGCTGAGAGATTTATTTTGCATAAGCATGATCACTCTAATTACTGGTTCTAGGAGAGTGAGTAGCAGCAAACTCAGGTTCCCTTTTTATTAGAGACCTGGTGTGGCATTTGGGTAGGCAGAGAGAGAGAGAACTCAACAATGTGTTAAAAATTCTGACATGCAAATGTCAGATCTCCTAACCCAAGGGAGATTTGCTTAGCCCATTGAAGTGGCATGTTCAAGAATACAGCTCCCAGGTGCCTGGGTGGCTCAGTTGGTTGAGCGACTGCTTTCGGCTCAGGTCATGATCCTGGAGTCCCAGGATCAAGTCCCACATCGGGCTCCCTGCTCAGCAGGGAGTCTGCTTCTCCCTCTGACCCTCTTCCCTCTCGTGCTCTCTCTCTCTCTCACTCTCTCTCTCTCAAATAAATAAATAAAATCTTTAAAAAAAAAAAAGAATACAGCTCCCACACTCTTCTTCCCCCCACTGCTATTAGATCAGCCTGGTGGCTACATGAATATTTTCAGAGATCTGATAAAGAGTCAAAGCAGCATATCTAATTTCTCAATTTATACCCACTTCCTGTCGGTAAATGTTGAACATCATTAAGTCTTTTTGTGAGATTTTGTAACGTTTTAAATGGATCTAGTTTCTTACAGAATGTGATAGAGAGCATGGTGCTCCTTTATCCCTTGGCACAGTAAATTCTATTTTAAGCTGTTTTCAAAAATATTTTGAAAACCACTAAACATATGCCTTAAACCTACAAAAAATAGATATTTTGCTGGAGCAAATTAACTGCCAGAGAAAAGAGTGTAAGGAAATTTAGGACTGAGAAGAAGGAAAAAATAAAAATGTATAAAGCTAAAAACAGAAAATAGCCTAGTTGGTCTTGCCACTATTGATATTAAGCGGCAGTGTAGAGAGACAGCTTATTTAAAGATGTCAAGGTATTGTGAGGGAGGTGATGGAAGGTATACTTCAGTATTGTCAACATCCTGCATAATATCTCTTGGATATTACCCCACTTGTACACATATACCCTATGTGTGCAGATATATGCAAGCACATATACGTAAATTGTATCTATTTCGTATGTCCTCTTAGGTGTCAATACATTATATTTTATAATTGGTAGTTGTAGGGTGTTGTTGAAGCAACTGGTGGAGGAAAGAGGTACCAAAATATTAATAGCCAAATTTATAGAGCACTTGTTATATGCCAGAGTATTTATAGGGTGCTGAAAGGGAGTGTATCATTTAAACTCCACAGTGACTGTAAAAGGCTCGGTTCTAAGGTGATTTAATTTTAGAGGTGTATGAGGCCCAAAGAGGTTGGGTAACTAGACCAGATGTACACAGTGGATACCCGTGGTTAAGCCCAAGTGCACTGACCTAACCAGGACATGACTGTTAACTGTGTATACACCTGCTGTTTGCCACCACACCCTCTCTGGTGATTCCTGGTGGCCAGTGTTTCCTCGTGTGATGTTCCTATTACTCAGAGAGGGCAGTGAATACTAAGGGAGCTTGAAACTTCCAGGAGGACATGCCCTTTCTCCTCCACCACCACTCTGGGCCCCTTAGGTAACTGCAACACTCATGTATTAGATCTCCCAGAATGAGGTCTTCAGACTTTCTCAGGAAAGATTCTACTCTCCATTCTCCTCAAGAGTTACTTGTAGCAAGTAGGAGTGTCCTGTAGGGAGAAAGCTTAGCCTCTGCTCTCACAACCCTGGGGTCCGTCTTTGTTGCTTTACTTAGACATGCTCACACTGGCCAGCCACTACTGTTCTTCAGAGTGGACGGCCAGAACCGAGAGGAGCACAGAATAGAGGGAATAACCCTGGTCGCAGCTCTGCTGCCCAGATATGTTACTAGCCTTTCCTGGGGCTCAGTTTTGTCATCAGTAAAATGAGGAGAGAAAAGAACTCACCTTTCCTGAGCACTGGTCATTATTCACAGTGTCTTAGTGTCTTCTGGTACTGTATTCATTGTTCTTGGTGGTCTTATGAGGCAGATCATATCCATGTTAGCAAGTGAGGAACATGAGGTTTCAAGAAGAAAGAACTGTCCAAGGTCACAGTGTGACATCAGAGCCCATCTTCTGTGCATCACAGACACTCTGCAGTAGATGACATCTGAGCCTCTGTTTGGTTCCTCACTGGAACAAGTTTATAACTGAGTTTCACAATGACTATGGAACAGCAAATGAAAGGCATCCCTTAAAGTTTGGAAAGGATAGTTTTAGGATAAGTACAAAGAAATTTTTATGTATATTTGATACAAGTTTGGGAAGCTTACAATTTAAAATGTAGCATCTGTTGAAATTTTGAGATTAGTTATAAGAACCATTTAGAGACAGCAAAGGGTGATGATTTCTCCTAAAGGAAATAAAGGACTACTAAACTTTGAGAGACAGCCATGGTTTTCAGCAGAGTTTGCCCTGGAGCTACCTCTGATACAAAACCATTGGAGGAGCCTTTATAGAGAACATTTTCAAGTTACAAGAAATTTAGAAAACTGTTTTTGAAGGATATCAGCCAACTTTTAAAATTTCACCCAGACTCAAATGGCTTAAGCAATACAGGTATATATCAGAGATACCATATGGTTCCTTTACTTCCTTTGTGAGGCCAGCCATGCTATATCTTTTTTTTTTACTTCTTTTTTTTTTATTATGTTATGTTAATCACCATACATTACATCACTAGTTTTTGACGTAGTGTTCCACGATTCATTGTTTGCATATAACACCCAGTGCTCCATGCAGAACATACCCTCTGTAATACCCATCACCAGGCTAACCCATCCTCCCACCCCCCTCCCCTCTAGAAGCCTCAATTTGTTTTTGAGAGTCCATTGTCTCTCATGGTTCATCTCCCCCTCCGATTTCCCCCCTTCTTTCTTCCCCTCCTGCTATCATCTTCTTCATTTTTTTTAACATATAATGTATTATTTGCTTCAGAGGTACAGATCTGTGATTCAACAGTCTTGCACACTTCACAGCGCTCACCATAGCACATACTCTCCCCACTGTCTATCACCCAGCCACCCCATCCCTCCCACCCCCCACCACTCCAGCAACCCTCAGTTTGTTTCCTGAGATTAAGAATTCCTCATATCAGTGAGGTCATATGATACATGTCTTTCTCTGATTTACATTCTTAGACAAGGAAACATTTTTCAGAGGCAAATATGTGAGTCACTAATAAGAAGGCATATTAAGATATTAAGATATAAGTCACTAATTCATATTAAGATATTAAGATATGTCACTAATTCTTATTAGTGACTCACATATTTGCCTCTGAAAAATGTTTCCTTGTCTAAGAATGTAAATGAATTGGCAAACCAGTGGGATGGATAGAGTTTAAATGATAAGCTAGTTCATCTTGTATATATCAATATTAATTCTGTTTTAAAATTCATTTTTATTTTTTTAAAGATTTTATTTATTTATTTGAGAGAGAGAGAGTGAGAGAGAGAGAGCCCAAGAGGGAGTAGGGTCAGAGGGAGAAGCAGACTCCCTGCTGAGCAGGGAGCTCAATGTGGGACTCAATCCTGGGACTCCAGGATCATGACCTGAGCCGAAGGCAGTTGCTTAACCAACTGAGTCACCCAGGCGCCCTAAAATTCATTTCTAAAAACATTTGAAAGAACCTCCAAAGTGAGTTTAATTGTTGAGAAAAATAAAATTTAACTCCTTTCCTAGTATTTTGAAGTAAATTAAGATTATAGAATTTTGGAGCTGGAAAATCTCTTAACCATTTAGGACATTCAGTACAATCCCATTCATTTATAAATGAGTCAACTGAGGCCCAGATATGTGAAGTGACCTGCCTAATATCACACAGTTGCTGATGTTGGACTAGGCTCCAGTTCTCCTGGGGCCAGCCCAAGACTATTTCATCACACTTTGTTATTGTCCCTAAAGCCACAGTAGAGAGTCACATAGGTTAGGTGAAGGAACCCTGGAGGTAAGTTTATCTTCCTCATTTTTACAGTTGAGATATCTATGACTCAGGGAAGGTGAATGACTTGCCCAAAGTGGCAGCAGGATTAGAACCCAGGTCTTCCATCTCTTAGTATCATTCTTTCCCTACAACGTTCTTACTGCTTCCAGGCTTTGCAAGAAGCAAGGTGCTATATTGTCATTTCCATTGAGTGTTTTTTTCACTGAAAAACTGGTATTAATACAATTGGTTACCAATGAAATTACTATTTTTGTTTTTATTTTGCATAGCTGTCCCAATTAAGTCAGAGTTGGCAGTTGAAATTTTGGAGAAAGGCCAGGTCCGGTTTTGGATGCAGGCTGAGAAGCTGTCTGGCAACACCAAAGTCACCTACATATTTAATGACAAGGAGATTTTTGAAGGACCGGTATGTTTTACACTTTTTAGATTCTAAACATATCACTGTACAATGTGCTGAGCGAGCCCTATTAAAATGCAGCTAAGGTGTTATGAAAACCACTGGGTGTGGAGTGGGAGAGTAAAAAAAAAAAAAAAAAAGAGGAAAATATAGATTGATTATATCATATTATCCAAACTAGGACACTGTTGAGAATGAAAGAGGGTTCTAGTAATAATATTTCCAGGACAAGAATCAAACCAAAACTATCCCGGGCAAATCAAGATGTATGGTTACCCGGGAAAATAGAGCTGCTCTCCTGAGAAGAAGAGGTGTCAGCGTGCTTACCTGAACTTACATACTCACATCAGAAACCTCAGCAGGAACTTGGTTCTTCACAGGGAGGAAATGGCCTCCATTGTTCCAATGGCTCAGAAAAAAATGCAGCAAAAATATCTTTCCTTACTTTTCTTGTGAAAAATGCAGTACATTTTTATTATATAAAAATTGTAAAGACTCAAAAGGGACAAATCACAAATTCTCACAACTTTTTAATATACACATTGGTTTATACTTTTTTGATCTTTTTCTACACTTCTGTGTGTGTGTGTGTGTGTGTCTATGGATGTCTTATTTAATTTACGTAGGTGTTTGTATGTATCTCTCTTTTCTTTGCTTTTAACATAAACATAGTTTCCATGGATAGAGTTACAACATCTGCACTGTATTTGTCCTCCCAGAATCAAGCCAGTGCCCAGTGGTACTGAAGAACTTGGGTTTAGGAGCTCTGGCTTTTACCGGGCTATCACAGGTATAAATGAGAGTCTCAAAAGATGGGAAAGAGGTGTGATTTGTGGCCATTATTAACAACCTGTTCTCCTGTCATCAAGATATGTTTTTAAAACATTCAGGATTCATTAGTGAGTGGGAGAATGAATAACATAAATAGCAAAAAAAAAAATGTAATATATTTCTTTTCAGCTCATTTAGCAACTGTGTATAGAACCTGAATAAGTCACACAGGGTCCACAGTGGCCCATCTTCTCCTTTTTCAAGATATTCTCCTTGATCGCCATGCTCATCACCTGGGCAGTAGAGGGGAAGGAAAAGCATTGTTGGCATCACTGTCTGCTGCCACAGCCATTTAGGGACCACTCGTGCACACACATGCATAGACGCACTCCCCTTCATGTGTTCACACATGGTTTCATGCTGTTGTACACATGCATACATACACATACATACTCTGACCTTGAAGAACTGTTCATTGTCATTGCAGTTAGTTCTTACACTATTTCGTTGGGTGGAAATTAGTGTCTTAGGCTAAGTTCCCTAGAAGGACAGTCTGAAATAGAATTTCTCTTTCAATTTATTTATGGGGGAGTACTCCCAGGAGTGGGGATTAGGGAAACAAGCTAAGGTAGAGGAAAGCGAAGCAAAAATGTGGTCTCGGTTTGAGACTGGCTTCCTGCGGGGGACACTCTGAGGCATGAACTGCAGCACACAGTTGATCCCAGACCTGAGCCTTCATTCTGTGACATTTTATAGGAAAACTTCATTAATTCAAATCTACTATAGAACCTGCACTTGTATGTCCAAGGGCTAAGATTTATCTTTACACTGAAAAAAAAGTTGCCTAAGCCATATGATAAAATAAGCACAGAAGAGTAGGACAAGTTTAGTTTATTAGGAACAAATGAACTTCAAATGCTTTGGAAGCATTTTTATTCACATATTAATTCTGCAGATATTTACTAATTGCCTGCTATAGGCCATGCATGCACAAGACGTGAGGGATATAGCAATGGATGAGACAAAAACACGTCCCTCACGCTGCCTATTATGTGGCATTATTCTGCTAATTAAAATGAATGTAATCTGGAAGGTAAAATGGGAATCTAAAAACACCTTTTTTTTTTTCAAGGATCTTATTTATTTATTTGACAGAGAGAGAGACAGCGAGAGAGGGAACACAAGCAGGGGGATTGGGAGCAGGAGAAGCAGACTCCCCGCCAAGCAGGGAGCCCGATGCAGGGCTCGATCCCAGGACCCCGGGACCATGACCTGAGCCAAAGGCAGACGCTTAATGACTGAGCCACCCAGATGCCCCTAAAAACACCTTTTTGACAACACTTGTGACTTAGGATAACAAAACTTTATTTGTATTTAAAAAAATTAAATTTCAGACTTTATAGTAAGTTCTGGTCAAGGTCATATATGCCAGGTCATATTCTTCTTTTTCCGGAGAACAAGATTTTGAAAGCTTATCTGAAAAAAAAAGTTAACAAGAAATTTTGTTAAAATTATGATTCTTTGGAGTTTGTGTTTATTCCCTCAGGCATTGGCATCCTATCTTCCTTACTGATTTCTGTTTTCCTTTTCATATTGAAGAAATATAAGATGCATATTGACCGAAACACTGGCGTAATTGAAATGTTCATGGAAAAGCTACAGGACGAGGATGAGGGAACATACACTTTCCAGCTTCAAGATGGGAAAGCAACCGGCCATTCTACTCTTGTTCTCATTGGAGATGGTGAGAAGTCTGTGGCACATTAACTGAAAGACTTCACTGTTCCCTTCAGTGCAAATACCCTGTGGCACGAAAGTGGTCCCGTTGAAGGCAGCAGGAATTGTTTCTTGTATTTTAAACATTGGAATCCAATTTCAGTTAACACTTTCCATAGTATTTCACCAGATTTATCCTTAGCCCACAGGGAAGACTGCAGTTAAATGATGTCCTATCTAAACAAGTATTTATTACTAAAATTCTCCAGTGAAGGAGATTGTAATACAACTAAGACTCTACCTATATCTCAGAAACAATGATACTACCTTATACTGTGTACTTACTTTAAACTACTTAAACTAAGAAGAAAAATATACAAAAGCGGTGCATGCCAGATCAATTAATCATGCTTTATAACTGGATTATATGTCAGCTGCCATAAGCCACTGTAAAACCACCAAGATATAAAATGTGGCATTTAACAAATGTGGCATTTGGAAAGGCTGGCCAGATCTCTACATTTGCGACATCCAATACTACTTCACTATTTCCTAGCTTCATGGCCTTGAACAATTTACTTAACCTTCCTAGCTTATTTCTTCATCATAAAAACTTAAATAGGTTATTGTGATGTATGAGTATGTTATAATAATGAATATAAATCTGCACAGTGGCTGGCATATACAGTTATACCACTCAGCTCAATTTCATCCTTCCTTATTTTTCTATTTTAGTTTATAAAAAGCTCCAGAAAGAAGCCGAATTCCAGCGGCAAGAATGGATCAGGAAACAAGGTAAAAATGGGCAGTGAGTAAAAAGAAAAACTTTAATTTCTTGAAAAAAAAAAAATTCCAAGATTAATTCCATAACAAATTTAAATGTATATTATTGCTTAGGCTAATAATGCCCTGGTAAATAAAAAATAATTGAAAATATTTATTATTAAATATGTATCCATTTAAAATATTTGAAAACTAATCTTGAATTTTAAAATATCACTTCATATATATATCACTTTAGAATTTAAGAATGAAATTTGATTTTGCATTTGTGATTAATAGAGTGATTACTGATGTCATTAAAATTTTATAGGTCCTCATTTTGCTGAGTATTTGAGCTGGGAAGTGACCGGTGAATGTAATGTACTATTGAAATGCAAGGTAAGGGGGCACCTGAGGGCTGTTTGTTGAACATCCAACTCGGTTTTGGCTCAGGTCATGATCTCGTGCGTCAAGGGATTGAGCCCCATGTCCAGCCCAGTGTCAGGCTCTCCACTCAGTGGGGAGTTTGCTTGAGATTCTTTCCCTCTGCCCCTTCCTCTGCATGGATGCATGCTCTCTCTCTCTCCCTTTCTCTCTAAAATAAATAAGCAAATCTTAAAAAAAAAAAAAAGAAGAAGAAATGCAAGGTAAGAAGTAAATTTTAAATATTTGATATAAGGGAAATAAAAATAAAGTAGAAGGTGAGAAAAGAAAGATCAATTTTTCATCTCCATTTGAACCAAAATGCCAAGTGACACATTCTTGCTATTGAATATTACTATAATCATTGGGTGGTAAGAAACATAAAATAAAATAAAACATAAAATAAGGTAAAATAAAACAACATAAAAATATGGGAAGACAAGATTATTACTCCTATTCATTACACCCTAGTTGATAAGGACTGGCTCTTCTCTTTTTTTAAATTAAGACTTTATGTTTTTAGGAGCAGTTTTAGGTTCACAGCAATATTGAAGGAAGGTACAGAGATTTCCCATGTAGCCCCTGTCCCCATACTTGTACAGCCAGCATCTTCATCAACATCCCCCACCAGAGTCTCACATTTGTTCCAATTGATGATCCTACACTGACATATCATAGTTGCCCAAAGTCCACAGTTTACATTAGGGTTCCCTTTTGGCATTATATATTCTATGGGTTTAGACAAATATATAATGACATTTATCCACCATTATAGTGTCATACAGAGTTTTTTCACTGCCCCAAAAAGCCTCTGTGCTCTGCCTATTCATTCTTCTCCCTCCTCCCCATTTTTTTTTTAAATTAATCTCAGAAGAATCTCACAATGTCTTTGTTTCAGGCCAAATCTTCATTCTAACTAGTAGATCTGTTCCACAATCATTCCAGATACTCTGTCTTTCTGTGGAAGTGTAGCAATTTCCTATCTAACTTGTATGACTAAGGCAACAATCCCTTTGAGTATTGGCTAGCTCAGCTGCGGGTTCTGAAACCAGTGTTTCAGTGTTGCCACGAAGGGAGAGGCTTGGTAAAGAGTTTGAGGCTCACAACCAATTGTCTCATTAGGCCTTGGGAGAAACTTAGAAATAAAAGTCCATATCACATTCTAAATCATTTTGTACCTTAGCTTATGGTGTGTTCAGCTGAGTGAGTCATCAAAATGTTTTGGATGGGGAACTGCTGGTTGAGGCTGGAGTGTGAAGGTCATGACAGCAGACAGTGACTCCAAAGTAGAAGCATGGATTTGGCATTTGGCATTATAAAAGCCAGAATCCAAGTGCCCCAGTCTCTTCTAGGTCTGATGACATTTAAAGAAAGAGCAGTCTACCAGAAATGTGTCCGAGAGATAAATTCTAGGCTTTAGCCTCTCAGTAAATGGCAAAACTTCCTGAAAAACAATTCCTCAGCAGCTAAAACCCTTTCTCTCCTCCTGGCTGTCCACTGCCATGTTGCCTCCAACTCACTTTCTCCTCCACCCTGCCCACCCCATAAACCACAGTTTCCCCAAGGCCCACATGTCTACCCTCCTTCTTTCTTTTTTTTTTAAATAATTTTTTATTGTTATGTTAATCATCATACATTACATCATTAGTTTTTGATTACCCTCCTTCTTTCTGTACTACCTATTGCACTAGCCTTCTGGGAGGTGAGCCCTGATGTCCTGTTCTGATGTCAGCCCCTTGCCCAGATTCTGAATCTAGAAATAGATTCTGAATATTCATACTTTATGTATTTATGTTGTTCCAGTGCCTGGAGTGACCTTCTTCTTTCAGCTTCTCTGACAAAATCCTTTCTCTAGCTCCAGCTTAGTCATCTTTTCTGTAAGGCCTTTTCTTCTCTGTCCAGGTAGAATGAACCTTCCTCTGTCTTCCCATAGCTCTTTGTTTCATGATTATAGCAATTTAGGTAAATTTGGTGATTTATAGATTCACTATAGGTAATGGAGTATGTGTAGCTAAACATTCAGATTCATGCAACTGTCATGGGTCCCAGTTAGAACTAGTCAACAGAATATAGGACAAGAACCCCAGCTTGCCTGCAACGCAGTGCTGGGCACTCCTCTCCTGCAGGAGTCCACTTCACCACCCCCTGATGACAGCTAAGGTGCTAGGAGACAAGCCCAATTTGGTCAGTGCAGGAAATGCAATGGCTTTAAAAATACTTCATGACCTAAGGATCCAATACCTCTTGTAACAACTCCCTAGGCAGAGCTTTCAGGGGTCCCCATAAGGGGCATGCCCAAATTACAAGCGTCAGCATACTTAGGGAAACCTAAAGCTATGGAGTCCATTTCTAGTCCCTCCTAGTCCAGATGCATTTTCCCAGTCAGGGGTCATTTTTATCAGAAGCAGTGTCACCTAGTAACACAGTTAATTTCTATAATTCAGGGACCAGTTGACAGGATCATAAAGAATGTTCGTTTGTGCTGGTTTCATTGTAGAGTTACCAGTGTTTGTTCTTATGTTAATTTATTAACTGAAAGTTTTTAACATTTTAAAGCTTGCATATCCTTGTTTCTAATTACATTAAACGTTTTTTTCATCTGTTTGTTTTGTGGTTATATTTCCTCTTTGGGGAATTGTGTGTTCATTTCTTCAGTAATCAGTGGGGTGTTAGGGATTGTTTTCTTGATTTGTATGAAATCTTTACTTTTTTATACAATTTTAATTATACAAGAAATACATGGATATACTCTTCTTTGTAGAAAATTCAAATATTGTAGCTCAAGATCCCTTTAACTGTATGAGTTTGTTAGCCTATTTGAAATTTGTATGGGAATGGGATTTAAATGTTTCCTCAAAATTGCTAAGCAATTAATTTATTAAACCATACTTGATGGATATTAACCTAACTTACTGTGGTAATCATTTCATAATATATACATATGTCAAATCCATGTTATATAGCTTAAACTTATATATGTCCATTATATCTCAATAAACCTGAAAGCACTTTATTTTTTTTTGAAAACACTTTAATTAAAAAATGTTTTTAAAAACATACTTACCTTCCACATTTATTTGCAAAGCTTCATTCGTATTTTTAAAAATATTTAGAGGGGCGCCTGGCTAGACCAGTCAGTAGAGCCTGTGACTCTTGATCTCAGACTCATGAGTTCGAGTTCCACGTGTAGAGATTATAAGTAAATAAACTTTTAAAAAATAAAATATTTAGATATATATTTACTCATTTAGATATATACTTACTCATTCTGTTCTTTTGATAAAGCCTTATTTTTGTGACACAGTCTATATTTTAATGTGATGGGATGTGTCTGCCTATGGTTTTCAGATATTTATTATTATTATTTATTTTATTTAAGTCTGCATGCTAGCATGTATGTATCTATTCTTTTCTGTCCACCAGACAGTTTTAAAATCAGTTTTTACTGCTGGACATAAAAATGCTATTGATTTAGGTTTATTCATTTGTATTTATTTTATTTTAAATTCTTTATCAATTAAAATAGCTTTCAATTTATCCCTTTAGAAATGTATGTCTTTTAAGTTCAGTGCTTTTTGTTCTATCCAAGGCTATGTTAAGAACTATTAAGTTTTGTAAGAGTAGCAGTCCCTTATTTTAAGAAGTATAATTATGGTTTTTCTTCTAGGTGGCAAATATTAAGAAGGAGACTCATATTGTGTGGTACAAAGACGAGAGAGAGATATCAGTGGATGAAAAGCATGACTTTAAGGATGGTATATGTACCCTGCTTATAACAGAGGTAGGTGACTATAAATGTGAGATGTAATATATTTGTTCTGTGCCCTACATTCTTCTAAAAAAGAGACTAGATTCTGTATTCCTTTGCCCTGGGCATTTTTAACACCTTACTTCTAGCTGCTCCAAAGATCCCTGCCCTGACATCACCCAAAAAAACAAGCCATAGGAACACAAAAACTTCTCTCACCTTGTGATCATGCACGGATTTGTCAGATATCCAACCAGTATTGGCTAGACACCAACTCTGGCCTCTCTGAACTGCCTCTTTTCATACATGGGTGAGTGGCAGGGCAATTAAGTGGGCCCTTCTTAGTTTGCTCTTAAGCCTCATGATAACTTGTTCCCTAAAAGTACAGAGACGATCAGACATAGTATTCAGTTAAGTACAGGTTTTTATCTACTTTTTGTCTAAAAGAACATATCTGTCAAATATATTGGATCATTAGTTTTTAATGTGAAGGCAGAGTAAAGAATAGGACTTTAAGTCTCAAATCAATAGCCTTGAAAGTGAAAAATCAGGACCGCTAGCAGGTCAAATGATGATGGACAGGTTCATCTGTGAACTCCTCATCACTCACTGGGCCAGATGTTCATTCAATGTGTGGTTTGACAGCAGTTCTATAAACCACCGGACCTTAAAAATGCAAACACCATTCTCTGAAGCTGCTATAAGCTGCAATGTGGTGTTTCCATTCCCTCTTAGTTTTCCAAGAAAGATGCTGGGATTTATGAAGTTATCCTGAAAGACGACAGAGGAAAAGATAAGAGCAGACTGAAGCTTGTGGATGAAGGTCAGTCCTCCAACTGCTGGGCTTGATTTTGTGTGTTCTGTGTCACAGGTTACCAGACTGATTAGTGAGGCTAAGTAACAACTGAAGTCATGCTGAGTTTTTGTCCACAAATTTTAATTGAAATTCCAGCAGAGTGAACTACTCTTTTATTTAAAAATACTTCACTTTTAGTCTTCCTGTAAATCAAATATGTACTTTTGATCTTCAGAGAATTTATAGTCCATAGTCCACAAGGGTTCTGTTTTCAATATAAATCATCATTTTTGTTTCAACCCTATAAAAAATGTTCCAGGATCAAAAACTACTGTGAGGGGCATCTGGCTGGCTCAGTGGGAGGAGCATGCGACTATTGATCTCAGGGTTGTGAGTTCAAGTTCCATGTTGGGTGTAGAGATTACTTAAAAAAAAAAAAGAGTTCATTAAAAAAAAACAAAACTACCATGAAAAGTGTGTCACCAAATAGTCCACTCTTAACAGGTGGCAAGAAAGATTTATATATGAAACGTGAAGCCTCTCAGTTATTAGCAGAGCAAGAAAGCAATTTCTATTTTTCAGAGACTTCTAAGCATGATAACAAAGACCTACGTGTGACCACCAGACTGCCAAGTGTGTTCTTGAACAAGATCTTTAACAATATTACTAACAGTGTAGGTCTGACTTTGATTTCACCTTCCTATTCCTGGTGGAGGCAAGACTAAATGTGCTTATTGGCAAGAAGTATTATCAGGCTGAGAAGTATCAGGGAACCTGGATGGTTAATTCGTTATGAGTTGATGATGCAGATGAGAAAATTCCGCATATGTAAACTAAGACTTCTTGGGACTAAAGCCAGGAACCTTCCTGGAAATCTCACTGTGGCTTCCTCTAGAATGTAAATATGGTGATAGTTATAAAGAATTAGAGGGAAAAAATATATCAAAATAAGAGCAAGAATTTTTTAAAAGTTGATACAAATTGAGGTATTACTTCCTCAAAGAGCACTTATTGTCAGTTTTCAGCAAATTCACCTGTGGCCAATACCCTTCACCAGGCAGGCTAATGTTGAGAGCACATGCTACTCACAGTTTGAGATCTGACCTTACGATGAGCATTTTTATGCTAAAGCTCTGTCTATGAATCTCTGTCCACAGCCTTTAAAGAACTGATGACTGAAGTATGTAAAACAATAGGTAAGTTAGAGTGGTCTCCCCACGACAGTGCTTCACTATTCTCCTGGATAGACTTACAGCTGTATGAACAATGCTGTTTTCCTCTTTCAGCTTTGTCTGCTACAGACTTGAAAATCCAGAGCACAGCCGAGGGCATCCGGCTGTACTCTTTTGTTACTTATTACCTGGATGATCTGAAAGTTAACTGGTCCCACAAGTAAGTAAATGGGAACTTAACTGCCATGTAGAAATTCTTTCTCCCGTGTGTGTGTGTGTGTGTGTGTGTGTGTTGGGGGGGCAAAAAGGGGGCAACAGCAATCCTCTATTCTTCCTCTCAGGTAAGGAGCCTTCTTACTTCCCAGGTCTGACATTGACAAGTGTAGACAGAAGCATCCCCCCCATTCCCTTAGCCTGAACTTGAGTTCGTGGTGAGGCCAGTGATGACTAAGATCATCTGTCTTTGTGATCTGGGAACTGTCATCATCCGTACACATCTCTATAATGGAATTTCCACCTTCAGAAGGTTGAGCTTGGGCTCCCTCTGCTTTGCCAGGCACCCCAAACCAGATTCTTATCCCCTCTTTCTATACACAGCTCACCCCTGTTATGGTCTGGAACAAAACTGAAGCAGCATGCACCAAGAGCCACCACATTTCCTGTTATATGAATTAATAGCCATTCACCAAAGAAACCCAATCCAGTGGAGTGCCTGAGTTTGTTACTGTTATCAATAGCAGTTGGCATAGTTGGGCATTAACATGTCTCTTGTCCACCCTTGGAAGGCTTTGGGGATTCAAGATTACTTTGGGAATGTGTATTTGAGCTAGACTGAGCCTGTAGATCTGTTCTAATCCCAGGTTCCTTTGTGGAGTTACAGGTGAACTCAAGTTCACCTCTGGGATTCTAAGAGCTAAAGTAGGTTTCTAAGTCCAACCAGTTTACCCATTATACTTTTGGCAGTGTCCTTAACCTTTACCCTTCCTTGAAATGTCCTGAGCTGAAAGAGAACAGCAGCCTAGGCATAGAAATCTGATGGGGCACAGCCACCTTCCACACACTCTTTGGATGCAGAGGATGCTCATTCCAGAAGTCCGTTATTGAGCCCCACTGAGCAGTAGGTCAGTGACAGCCCTGGGAGGAGGCACACAACAGTGTTTATTTGCATCTTCTCTACTGTGGGTGTCTATCAGATGCTGCCCGCGGCCCCAAGCCCTTCCCATGTATGAATTCATTTAATATTCACAACTCTAGGAGGCAGGTAATTCTCACTTTAGTGACTAGGAAGCTCAGGCTCAGGGAGGTGACTTGCTCAAGTTCGCACAGCTCACTGGCAGGTGGAGGACTGAGCCCAGGCCTGGCTCCAGAGCTCCCCTCACCATGGCGCTGTTCTGTGTTCCAGTTGCTTTAACAGTCTAGATTGAACATTTAACCAGAACTGGGTCGTCCCACAAAACAGACATTTGTGTTTTCTTTAAAATGATTTTACTGTGATATAAAACATTTTTTTTATTCTTATTCTTATCCATTTCCTGAGTTCTTAAAAAAAAAAAAAACGGACGGGGGAGGGAGAGAACAAGTGAAATTCCAATTTGAATGCTTGGGGTTTCAGTCCTTTGTTCTATTTCTTTCAGAGCACATTTTAGGAAAGTAATTATGAGTTAAAATAGATCAAATTCTAGGAAATTCCTCTGTGGCATCTAGGACATTCTAATATATGAGTCTGAAGAATAAGAGATGAATTAACTGAATAATCAATCAAAAAACTTTATATCATCTTTAAAAGAATTACTTGTTCAAAAAAATTAGAACATTCAGTTTTAAGGAAGTTGCTATTAGACTAGTAAGGCATAAACCTCTTACACTATCTGGTCTAGTCAGCGGAATGACTGTTTTGTGTACCCGTGTGGCTAGGAAAGATTCAGGAATCAATGACTGATTGTCTTCACTGTCTTTACGTAAGTATGTGGCATAACAGGAGAAAACTTGAAATGGGTTTTAGCCTTGACTTTGCTCCTATCTTCCCTTGAATCTTAGGCAAGTCATTTAATATTTTGAAATCTTAGGTTTCTCTCATATGAAATAAGAGCAATAATACCTATTCTATCTCATAATACTGATGGAGCCAATGAGAGAATGAAATTTATGGCACTTTGTAAACCATGAAGGGCTTTACAAATCTAAGGTACTATTATGCATGTTAGTTAGAGATTAGAGAATTCAAACAGATTTATTATAGCAAAACCGAGGACAGTCTACCTTTCTAACTCTTTAAGACATATAAACTGCTCAGACTCAAGTCTGTGGGTACAGATGGGTTCCTTTACCCTACATCTTATGGAAGTTTTTTTTTTTCATTTTTTAAAAGATTTTATTTATTTATTTGAGAGAGAAGGAGAGAGCACGAGTGGGGGGAGGGGCAGAGGGAGAAGCAGGCTCCCCACTGAGCAGGGAGCCCCCCCTGGGGCTTGATCCCAGGACCCTGAGATCATGACCTGAAGCAAAGGCAGATGCTTAACCGACTGAGCCACCCACATGCCCCTCTTATGGCAGTTCGTGAATATCTTTTAAAGAATGTATTGTATAAGAAAAATGGTGAATGTTTATTTGAAAGCTGAAACATTTTTATTGGAGATTTTTGTTTTTCTGTTTTTAGTTCATTTTGTTTATTACAACTACAAATGTAATACATGCTTGTTTTAGAAAATATACTTATATCTTAGAAAGAGCTTGTAATATAATATCATCCATAGTTCTCCTAGCCATAGTGTAAACTTTTTGGTGTACTTCCAGTCTTTTCTCTATGCATAATTGTTACTATAATTAAGTAGTTTTGCATACTGCTTTTTTTCCTATTTCCTCACATGTTTACAAACTCTTCATAAAGTTTCTTTCAGCATCATTGACAGTACACCTACATCTACCTTTCTCTTACTTCATTAATATCAGTAGCATTTCTAAACCATCAGATCATAAGGCCAAGGGTTCTATTTGCTTTTATTCTCTTGTAAAGAATGCAATGTATGTTTCTGCTCATGACCTACTATAGAATTTGGAGAAACTCATGTCCAGGGACAGAGAGGTGCCTCATTCATTTTGGCAGAGACTCTGCTTTTCATTTATTCTTGGCCTTACTACCAAGTACATATTTACATATGTTTTAAATAGCTTTGTAACCACGTCTGTCAATAGATGTCAGCCACAGATGAACCTCCTTAAGTCTGTTTTTAATTAGTTTGTAAAATCTGACTTATAGCCAGAGACCATCTGCAAGAAATATGCAGTAATAGAATATATAGTTTGGCCTTTTCCCTTTAAAGATTCTCTTAGTCCCACAAATAAACCCAAGCAAAAACAAAGATAATTAATACCACCGAGAAGTATTGGTGTTGCAATCAGCTAGGGCCCCAGACTGCTGCTGGGAGTTAAATGTACAGACTGTCTACCCCCACCCTGGGCCTTGGAATCCAGGTTCTGTGATTCAGGGCCCATACTTTTTCTGAAGCTGAACATGCATGGTTCTCATGTTGTTTGAAACTCTGTAAAACTCTATGGTGAGACCTTCAAAGAGAGACAAAGTAAAAATCAGCTCTGGATGAAAGCAAAGGATAACAATATTTTCTTTGCTATGAACAGCGGGACTCCTATTAAGTACTCAGACAGAGTTAAGAGTGGGGTCACCGGGGAACAGATCTGGCTGCAAATTGGTGAGCCCACTCCGAATGACAAAGGGAAATATGTGATGGAGCTCTTTGATGGCAAAACTGGACACCTGAAGACAGTGGATCTTTCTGGACAAGGTAAATGAATATTTTACAGACTAGAACTTTCCTGTGGAGGAGTGTGGGCTTTTAAAAAAAGAATGAAGGGTGATAAGAGGCCATTACATCTGACTATTGGAAGATGATTGGAGATTTTAAGAAAGCAATTTAAATTCAGCATGGTGGTAGAAGCAAGAATTCAATGGGTCTTGGAGAATCAGTGAAAAATATAAAGTAGAGACAATAAACACGGAGAGCAAGGACTCCCTTTTCAAGATGCTCACAAAGGAGGGCAGGTTGATTTACAGTCACCTGAGCAAAAACAAACACTGAGAAAGAATTGTTATGGTGATTGGAATGTGAGCATGTTTCATAGAGTTTAAGAATTCAATTGAGCTGGAAGATGTGAGTGATGAGGAATAACCAATGTATGCATGTTCTGAAGAATGGAAGGTCTGAGATCCAGGGCAGGGGTGAAAGTGTTGACTTTGGAAAGGAGCAGGGATCCCTTTTCTCCAGAAATCAGAGAGGGGCGGTGGGTAAATATGAATAAGCAAAGATTAACATTGAGGAGAAGAGAAGAAAGTTGGAGAAGTTGGGTCCTTAATGGCGTCAGATGTCTTGATCATCTGCTGAGAGAATGCGGGCATCTGGAGAGAAGAGGGAAGAGGAGCAGGAACTATGGAGAGACATGAGCAGATACAGAGGTAACATGCAACTAGCAGCCACAAATTAAACAGTTTAGAGAGGTGGACAAGGAGAGGGAGCGTGTGTTCTGCAACTGTGGCTCTTGATCTGTCAGCCCCAAGATCTTGGAAACCACAGGGTCAGGATGTTGTGCCCTGAGGCTTTTAATGTGTAGCTTATTTATCACTGTCCTTGCCTCCCAGCTCCTGTCTCTATCATTCCCCCTCAAGGACTTGGGACTCAGCCTCAGGGCGGTCCTTCCACTGCTCCTGTCTAGATTCTGCCTAACATTCCTCAGGGAGACCGTGGACTGACTTTTTCTTCCACTTCTTCATACACTAAAATGCGATCTGAATATTCCAGAACTCTTAGTGTTTTTAATCCGCGGAGAGTAGACTCACAATTAAGAGCACAGCCTTTCAGCAGTCCTGCCTTGACTTGTTTTGAGCTGAGCCCCCAGACCCTTCCCACACACACACACACACACACACACACACACACACAACCTCCCCCCCACTCCACCCCCCCATCTCCCACCCATGAGGACTAGAAAGATGGGAGTGGCTGCCTGCAGGCCCCGCTGCGCCTGAGGCACACACTGCAGTAACAGGGGATTTCTTCTGCAGTGCATCTGACATTTTGAAACACAACTGAAACCGGGAAACAGGAAGGGGGTGGATAAATTTAAAACTTAAAAAAAAAATTTCTTTTACTCTCTGGCCCACCCAAGCAGATTGGTTCAGCAGGCCCCAGCTCTTTCTTATTGTCGTGTGGGCAAAAGGAAGAGAACTGAATGCTTAGACTGGCTTAGCCTAACTTATCTACCTCCAGAGACCTGAAGCCTGACTTTTTATGCTTATTTTTCCCCTCCGTAAAAGGAGGGGGACAGTAAATACTTTCTAGACGTAAAATATGATGATTCCCAGACCACATAGGAGCTTAAAGAGGAGGTGAGAGAGATTTCAAAATAAAGCTTCCTTTTCGCCTGAATTGTTCAAAGTGGCTTGCTCGGCAGGCTCAGGGGGGAAGAAAGATTTTAGAACTCTGTAGCTCTCATTTCCTTGTCTCACTGTCTTTTCTCTGGGCTCCTGCCCAGCTTAGAAGCATTGCTTCAGGCCTACACTGGCGCAGGCTGGGAGCTCCGTAGTTCCTGTGCCCTTCAACACAGATAGATGGGCCAGACGGTGTAATATGGAAATATTGAACTGTCGAGCTCAGACGCTGTGCTGTGTGGGATGATTTTAATAAGAGAAAGGCCTTTTTGATGTTCAGGATGCTTATCACACAACCACCTTTATTACCATTTTATCTTTGGCAGAGCTAATCTTTGCCTCTCTGCTTGAAAGGAAGGTCTCTCACTGAATTGGGAGCTTCTAAAATCCACTACTTCATCTTTTCTACCTAGAAAGTATTTGCTTCTCCTGTGAAGTCCATCATGTTGCAGAGTCAACGGGCAGGCACAGTCTTATTCAGTCAGCTTAGTCATGTCTGGACTGACCACACTGACCTCAGGCTACGAATTTCAATCCACTGCTGTGTGTTGTCAATTCTGGGTGAGAACATTCTAACTTCTCTTTTTTTTCTCTTAAAGCATATGATGAAGCCTTTGCTGAATTCCAGAGACTAAAGTAAGTCCCTTGCCATTTGTGTGCCCTGATTTCTCTGGAACATGATGTGCTGCTCCCCCACCTGAGGGTTAGAGAGGGTCTTTCATTTTGGCAGATGCCTAAAAACCACACTTCCCACTGCTTTGTTGAGCAGCAAAATGTCTCTGAGGCAATGAAATGCAGTCAAGTTTTGCTACTTTGAAGTACCACTAAAACAAAATTCTTCTTTGTTTGCATGTTTGTTTGGTTCTCTCAACCACAGACAAGCTGCCATTGCTGAGAAAAGTAAGTAAACCCCCTTCCCATTTATTCCTCGCATAATCTCAAAACATAGCTTTTATTTTTTTATTGTGACTGCAGACAGAGAGTCTTTCATTTTTTTTAATCTTAGGTGTTCTACATATGTTTTCATTTAGTCTCTTGAGTAAGAACGTCTGTGAAAAGAAGGTGTCAGGTTACATTTTAAGAATGTCACTGAGCTCTTGACTTGAGCTAACCCCCCGGGTGTCCTGAGAAATCTCTGGGCACAAGTTACACAATAAGTTGTTAATCACTTGCAGCAGGCACAATGTATCAGAAAAATGTATCTCTATTAAAGAAGAAATAAGAAACTGTAAATGTGACATCAGGAAAATCACTGTGACTGGTCTCCCGACAAATACTCCTGCATTTTCCTAAGAGCCCCTGTAGGATAAAAGAAACCAAAGAAGGCCTTCTTGAATTCTTCACAGTCTGAGTGAACAAACACCAAACTGTCAAGTCTGTGTACCCACAAATGTGCTCACTACTAACTTCTGTCAACTGTTGGCCTCATATGTGGAGATTTCTAGAGCTCAATCTTTTAGGATTCTGAGAGTCATGAACTAATTACCATAATCATTCAGGTTCTCTCTGAGTGTGTGAGGCAGAGTTTGAAAATTGTTGAGGGCTAACACTGTAGAGTCAGTCCTGAGCTGGAATGGAAGGGAACCAGGAGGGGGAGTAAGAAGTGAAGTCTTCTGCCAGCCTTTCTGTAGCTCCAGGTCATTAGGATGGAACTTTGCACTTTGGACTGCCTCCCTCTCTCCTTCCTGCTCTTTCCTTCTCCCGCCTCTTGTGCTGGGCTCCTGAGTGGTGAGGCAGCTGGTAGTAGTGAACGGGGCAGATGCCAGCACCAGCACCAGGCGTGCTGGGGGAGGGCAGCGCAAGGGGAGCGCTTCTTGTTGGGACCAAGTGTGCCCCTTCCGCGCCTGTATGCACAAGCAAAGCCAGAGTCCAGAGTTGATGGCTATTCCCCATTCTTGAACTCTGGTGGGCAAGGAGGCTGCCCCTCCCTCCAGTTCATGAATTCTTTCTGAAGTTTCTGCATCGAAGCAGTTTAGAGCTGGAAGAGACTTGAGTGCTCTTCTGGCCCCCTGTGTTTAACCTTTTGTAAGCCGAGGGATGCTTAATTCAAACAAATTCACACAGATCCAAGATGTAAAATAGGTGAAAGCCAAGTTAGCGTAATTGAAGGTGGGATGGGGTCCAGGCTCCCTGACTCAATGCCCCTCCTCAGACCTCCTCCCAGGGCCCCCAGAGGAATCCCATGGATGCTGTGGAGCAGAGCTGGGTAACTTCATGCCCACAGGTGTAATGCAACCCTTCCCCCATTCCACATATTAGGAGACTAGGGTCCACACAGTGAGGTGACTTGCCTGATGTCACACATCGGGTCGTGTAGGAGCCAGATGATGAGTTGAGCTTACAGGTGGTCCAAGGTGCAATGGAATCAGCAGGAGAACGCAATCAAGATTCAAGGCTTGTTCAAAGCTTTAGTCTGACTTAGTGGAGAAGGGAGTTGTAGAAATAGGATCTAGAGTCACACATTAATTGAAGTAGGCCTAAAATTGAGAGGGTGGTGGCCACTGCGTCAGTGTCAAGACAGTGTCCCTTTGAGCAGATTACAGGAAGGCGTCCTTCCCTGGCGCTAAGCCAGTCACACCCAGAGCACAGGGCTGGGTGGAGCGAGAGGTCAGCTCTGGAATTCAGCACGCTTCCCACACCTTGTCCCCTCAGCTGGGGGCCTTTGTACTTCATGGTCATAGATAGTAACCCTATACAGCCCTATAGGCCAAGAACTACCAGGAGACAAAAAAGGGAAGCTCTCTAGGAAAGACCTCAAAGAAAGCCCCCATCTGCACAAGCCTCCAGATCTCATGGCATTCAGCCTCCAATTGTGCAACCTTTTTTTTTTTTTTTTTTAATGATAGGGAAGCCCTTAAAGGAGCCGACTTGGAGGCTGTCCATAGAGATCTGCTTTTGCCTCCTTGAACTGAGCCCCACTGAGCTACAGAAGGGCCAGGGCTGAAAATAGTCATGAAAATTATAGAGCAGGTCTTAATACCACAAAGCCATCTCAAGCTGATAATTTAGGAATAGGTAGAGGCAGCCACGCACACAATTTATCTGTGTGAGGAAGGATTAACATCTAAAATTACTGGATCCTTTTCTAATTTTCATATTTAAAACAGGTATAAAATAATTGTAAGGAGAAGGAAACTAAGTTGGAAAGTTAGTCCCTGGGGTGTTTCTGTGAGTGTGATCACTGGCACTCATCATTTCAGTGATTAACCAGAAACACCTATGCTTGCAGATCGTGCCCGAGTTTTGGGTGGACTCCCCGATGTGGTCACCATCCAGGAAGGCAAGGTAAGCATAGAGCACTCCTGTCCCTGCTTCTTCCACACTAGCAATGGATTCCAGTGCCCCAGACTTCGTTCCGTCTAAGAGCTCCCACCATCTTCATCTTAAGCCACTGTTGCTTAGGCTTGACATCAGAGTAGCCAAATACAAGATTCAAAATGCAGTCCATTTTCCAGTCATCTTAACAGTTTGTAGGCCAAGCATCAGGATACAAGTTCGCCTTATGTGGTCACATGTAGACCACTTAGTCTCTTTCCAGGGGTACCCTTTCATATCACAAGAAGCAAAAAAGGTTCAATCACAACTATATGACAAATATAATTGGAGAAAGATGCAACCTCTAACACCTAGTGGAAAATGGGCTGTCCTGTTAAATACTTTACCTCTGAAGGGAAACATCCTGCTCCATGAATTTCTATAGGCTCTGTTTCAGTTGAAAACTGATTTTTTTCTTTTTTTTCTTTTTAAGATTTTATTTATTTACTATAAATAAAATTGAGAGAGAGAGAGAGAGCACAAAGAGGGTGGAGGAGGTGGAGGGAGAGGGAGAAGTAGACTCCCCGCCGAGCAGGGAGCCCGATGCAGGGCTTGATCCCAGGACGCTGGGATCATGACCTGAGCCAAAGGCAGATGCTTAACTGACTGAGCCACCCAGGTACCCCAAAAACTGACTTCTTTCCATTTAATTTTATTTATTTATTTTTAAAGATTTTATTTATTTATTTGAGAGAGAGAATGAGAGATAGAGAGCACGAGAGGGAAGAGGGTCAGAGGGAGAAGCAGACTCCCTGCTGAGCAGGGAGCCTGATGTGGGACTCGATCCCGAGACTCCAGGATCATGACCTGAGCCGAAGGCAGTCGCTTAACCAACTGAGCCACCCAGGCGCCCTCCATTTAACTTTAAACTAGTATTTCCTGGCTCTGTAATAATCTCTCTGAAGAGCAATGAACATAATTTCTAACCTGGATTCACTTTCTTCATCCCTCTGTTTCAAAAGCAATGAACATAATTTCTAACCTGGATTCGCTTTCTTCATCACTCTGTTTCATTAAGACAAATTCAATGAGCCAGCCATAATGGACAGGTACTTGTAGTAAAACAAAACCTTTTCCCAATGAAGACATACGATAGGTAGGCTAGGGAGAAAACAAGGCATGTGGAAAGACTTTAGTGAAAGGCAGATTTCATCCAGCTGCATTTCTTCACGGGTAGAATATATATGACCACAGCAGACCTGAAGCTCAACCATTGCAAGGTTGCTTTTGTCTTTAAACTCCATTTTTCATATTCCTCATTTAATGGGGTTCACAATATTCAGCTCACTGGGTTGTAGTGAGAATTCAGGGAGAGAATGTATGGGAAAGGACTTTGTGATCTATAATGGAAATAAGTCTAAAGTATGGATAGTAGTTTTCCATGACACCTAAGGTATTTGGGAGTTTGGTTTTGTTTTGTTAAAAGTTTTAACCACCAAGGGGCACCTGGCTGGCTCAGTCAGTAGAGCATGCAACTCTTGATCTCAAGGTCATGAGTTCAAGCCCCACGTTGGGCATGGAGCCTACTTAAAGAGAAAAAGGAAAAATAAAAGTTTTAACCCCAAGTCCACTTGGATAAGTTTGATGGCAATAGCCTATTTTTCTTGCTGAAATGTGTTTATAGGCTAATTCAGTAAGAAATGCCAATTAAGGGCGCCTGGGTGGCTCAGTTGGTTAAGCAACTGCCTTCGGCTCAGGTCATGATCCTGGAGTCCCTGGACTGAGTCCCACATCCGGCTCCCTGCTCGGCAGGGAGTCTGCTTCTCCCTCTGACCCTCCCCCCTCTCATGTGCTCTCTCTCTCTCTCTCTCTCTCTCTCATTCTCTCTGTCTCAAATAAATAAATAAAATCTTAAAAAAAAAAAAAAGAAATGCCAATTAACCATGGAAGGGAAAAGATTTCTTAATCTCCCAGTTTTAAACAATACTCTTGGGACGTCTGGGTGGCTCAGTCGTTATGCATCTGCCTTCGGCTGAGGTCATGATCCCAGGGTCCTGGGATGGACCCCCATCAGGCTCCCTGCTCAGCGGGAAGGCTGCTTCTCCCTCTCCCATTTCCCCTGCTTGTGTTCCTTCTCTTGCCTTATCTCTCTGTCAAATAAATAAATAAAATCTTAAAAAAAAAATACCCTTATAGAAGAGGTAGTAAGTGATCATATAAGACCCTTTAGAGGGATATTTAGAAGAATATCCTTTTCCTGTATATTGTGAGCCCTAGTTCTTTTCCTTATACTTTCTGGATTTTGGTAAGAAAAAAAAAATGCAAGAATGGAATTTAAAATGTGAAGTAGGGGCACCTGGGTAGCTCAGTCGTTGAGCGTCTGCCTTCAGCTCAGGTCATGATCCCAGGGTCCTGGGATCCAGCCCCGTATTGGGCTCCCTGCTCAGTGGGAAGCCTGCTTCTCCCTCTCCCTCTCCCACTCCCCCTGCTTGTGTTCCCTCTCTCACTGTGTCTCTCTCTGTCAAATAAATAAAATCTTTAAAAAAAAATAAAATAAAATGTGAAGTAAATTCAACATTGTCGGCCATCAGAGAAATGCAAATTAAAACCACAGTGAAATATCATAACACCTATCAGAATTGCTAAAATAAAAACAGTGACAAAAACAAATGCTGATAAGGATGCAGAGAAACAGAATCACTCATACATTGCTAGTAGAAATGTAAGCCAAGATTGTATAGCCACTTGTGAAAACAGTTTGGCAATTTCTCAAAAAAGAAAATATACGTTTATCATATGACCCAGTAGTTGTACTCCTGGTCATCATAAAGAAATTAACACTTATGTTCACAGAAAAACCTGTATATATTCAATAGCAGCTTTATTCATAATAGCCCCAAACTGGAAACAGCCCAGATGATCTTTATAGGTATATATATATATATATGTATGTATATATATATATACACATACATACATACACATCATGGCCCACTACTGAGCCATACAAAGGGATAAACTATTGATCCCTGCAGTAACTTGGATGAATCTGCAAGGAATTATGCCAAGTAGAAAAGGCAGTCTCAAAAAGTTACATGCTATACAATGCTATTTATATAATGCCTTGGAAATTACACAATTTTAGAAATGGAAAATGGATTGGTGGTTACCAGGAGTTAGAAATAAGGTTGGGAGGTTGCGGGCAGGGTGTGGATGTGGGTATAAATGGCAACATGAGAGATCCTTGTGACAGAAATGTTCTTTCTCTTGACTGAGGGGAGCTAGGACAAGGGATAAAATTGAATAGAACCCCACACAAACAAGCACCAATGAGTACAGGCCAAACTGGGGAGATCTGAATAATAACTGTGGATTGCATCACTGTCAATGTACTGGTTGTATTACTACACTATAGTTTTGTAAAGTGTTACTGTTGGGTGAAATTGGGTAAGGGCACATACAATCTCTCTATTATTTTTTACGACCGTTTCTGAATCTACAATTATCCTTAAATTTTTCAACAAAAAAAAGTATGGTAAAGTAAAACTATAGGCCCAAACATTGATCTTTTAAAGTAAGAGGGTTTCAGCACAGATGGTAATATAATAAGATATCAGGAAATAGGAATACATTTTGGTAGAGCACCTTTGCAACTACAACAGACTGGTTGGGGTTTGAGGGGAGAAATAAAAGGAGGGAGATGGAACCTGAAAATGAATCCCATTATATGAAACAGTGGTCATGATTCTGCTGCTGGGCTCTGGGAGGCAGACGAAATGCAAAGTGAGCAGGTAGTGATTACGGCAATGAGATTTCTCTAGTGAGACAGAATCCAAATGCCACACGAGAGCAAAAGGCATCTATGTGTTTATGAAAGCAAGAGTGCAGCTGGGAACCAAAGCCAGAAAGCTGAGACCCTCCAGAAACCTAGCTAGGATTGAAGTCAAATTGTAATTCATGCAGGTGCATACCCCACATAACTCTACCCGTCATTCCAGGGGCTTTATATTTATCCTCCTTCGGCCCCTGCCAAACCACCAGAAGGGTTCTTGAAGCTGAATCATGGTACCTGATCTATCTCCTTCCCTCTCATAAAACGTGTTTTGCAGGCGCTTAATCTCACCTGCATCGTGTGGGGCGACCCAACTCCAGAGGTTTCCTGGTTAAAGAACGAGAAGCCCCTGGTCCCAGATGACCACTGTAGCGTCAAGTTCGAGGCCGGCAAGACTGCCTACTTCACCGTCAGTGGGGTGAGCACTGCCGACTCTGGCAAATACGGGCTGGTTGTGAAGAACAAGTATGGATCAGAGATAAGCGACTTCACTATCAGTGTGTTCATCCCGGAAGAGGAGGCAAGGAAGGCCACTGAGCAGCCCCAGAAAGGCAACAAGAAGGCCAAGTGACCAGGAGGCTGCGCGAGGGGAGCTACGCTGAGCTGCCTTGTGTTACTTGTGTGCGAATGGCTTGGGTTAAGTGTAAGGAAGCCTTCCTGCTTTCTACTCCCTATTTTTGTGCTGGCTCGGGGGAAAATTGTCACATCTCTTATTCATATAAAAAAGCATCAACTAACAACATTTTAATAGTTTTTCTTTATCTACAAATTCTGCATTAAGAAAATGCCATTGGTAGCACAAATATTAGGAAACGGTTTTAAGGAAAAGACCAGAATAAAGCCAGAGGGATGTTGAATGATGGTCAGAGAGGAGATGAATGTGTTGTGGAACAGTGTTGGGCTTGGCTAGACTTTTCCCAGGAAATCCTCAAGGGTTGCGATCATACCTCAGCATCCTGTCAAAAGGGGGACAAATTGTTAAGCCAAGCAGTATGTTTTGTGTGTTGTTAATGATAGTGACGTGCATTTCTGTTGGCGGTCTTGTGATTTGGAGCCTCCTCAGTATTAATAAACAGTCCTCACACCTCTCCTCTTTCCCATCAGTGTTTTTCTCATTCTTCCTGTTCGGCTGCTCAGTGGCGTGGTCTCTGCTGCATCCTGCCCACCGCATCTTATAGCACATTCTTCTGATTTAAATTCCTTTTGATTAAAGCAGTACCTTCCTAGCATGATCAGATGAGCCATCCAAGGTCAACTGAGGTTCAGGGGTGTGAAATTGCTCTGTCATTGTACATCTGGTGGCTTACTGTACAATCACATCGATTCCATTGTTAAGATACCCGAAGTAATTACATGTAATGTGTCAATTAAGGATAATAAGATGGTGTGGGAGTCTACTGCCAGAATTGGCGACTAAGGGCGCACAGCTAGAAAAAAAGAACGCTGATTCTGAGTTCAGAGAACTGCCAGCTTTGGAGCCACCTCTCTTTGTAGGGCTCGCTGACAGGCAGCATTATGCTTTAGGAAATTTGGTTGTCCCCCCATCTCTTACCCCAACCACCACCATCACCATCACACACCCACACCCCCTACACACACACACACAAACATGCACACTTGTGCTCACTCACACACCACTGGAGGAAAACAGTTATGATAAAAAGAGGTTTCCCTTCTCCATCCTCCTGCCAAAAGTCAGGGATGGGACAACAGACTCCCTTATAAGTTTGGAGGTACACCTACGCATCCTCTCCTTTGTAAAGTTCAGGACTAGAAATTGCCTCTCGTCTGATTCCCTTGTGCAGCCAAGTGCCCCCTGCTGTTGCCATGACATTGAACACCAGGCAGCAGAGATGCTGTGCTGTTGCTAACAGGCATGGCAAGTTGATGGGCTTCTTGAGGGTCAAAGGGACCCCGCCAAGGGCAGCTGACCTTGAGCAGTCTGCAGCTTTCCTTCCTTCAGCAAGAGGGCTCTCTCTGGACAAGGGGACCAAAGGAAAGTGGACACCAGCAGGGGAGCCGAAGAGAGGAGAAAGGAGAAAAGCAGGAGCTGTGCAGGTGAGAGGCCCCCAAGACTCTCCTCAGAACCCCAAATGCACCCCTCATAAGAACCAGCAGCAAAGTCACCATTGTGGGGGGAAGGGAAGAAGGGAGGTGTGTGCGTGAGCAGAACCTGCTACCCCCGCCCCGAGTTCCATACCTCTGGAGCCCAGACCAGAGAGAAAACAAGAAGGACTTTGAATCCAGTGAAAATACAATTTTAAAACAGTGTGTCCTCAGTTCTGAAATTGTGTGAAAACTTGTGAAATCAAAGTGTGCATCACTGAGATCCCTGCCATCCAGTCCAGAGGGACTTGATGAAACAAGGTGGCAGCAAGGGAGAAAAATGCTTTCATACTCATAGCTCCATAAGCTGAGACTCCTCAACAAGATGGTTATAAGAAGTATTTCAGGGGCACCTGGATGGCTCAGTCGGTTAAGTGTCTGACTCTTGATTTCAGCTCAGGTCATGATCTCAGGGTCGTGAGATGGAGCCCCATGTCAGGCTCCACGCTGGATGTGAGGCCTGCTTAAGATTTTCTCTCTCTCCTTATGCCCTTCCTGCACTGCCCCCCGCCCCGCTCTCTCTCCCAAAAAATAAGAATTATTTCAACCATTTTAACAACCAAAATAAATCAACTACATTATGATTTGATGGCTTATGTAAAAAGCTGCTGTTTCTACAGGGGAAAATAGAACATTTAATGATGCTGAAAGTCTTTCTAACTCATGAGAATTCATGAATCTGGACCTGCTAAATGTGAGCTACTGGTACACAGAGGATCATATTGGAGCACAAAAAAGACTATTCAGAGTTTTGTTTTATAAGATTAATATTCAATCTATTAAAGTAATAAATTTAAAAATCTAGATCTTCCTAAATCCTTGAAGGTTAGCTTTAAAATCTTATTTTTCTATTTAAAAATCTAGCCATTGAAAAGAGTTAAGGGTGGGGGCGCCTGGGTGACTCAGTCGTTAAGCGTCTGCCTTCAGCTCAGGTCATGACCCCAGGGTCCTGGAATCGAGCCCCGCATCGGGCTCCCTGCTCCGCAGGAAGCCTGCTTCTCCCTCTCCCACTCCCCTGCTTGTGTTCCCTCTCTCACTGTCAAATAAATAAATAAAAAATCTTAAAAAAAAAAAAGAGTTAAGGCTGCCTTAATAGAATATCTAAATTCCCTTTGACTTATTAAACTGTATTTATAAATTAATCTATTTGCTTTCCATTTTAGGTACTACTATCGTCTGACATAACAAAAACTTTCCAAAAACTTAAATAACTTTAATTACCTATGAAACTAAGCATATTGAAATGGAAAATTCTCTTAAATGTTCTCATTTTGTATATAAACTCAGTAAGGCTTCAACAACAAAATCACAATCAGTTAAACATTGTAAGTTAAAATCATAAAGCTGAGCTATTACTAGGAAAAATGATCTAAAACATCACAAGTACCTAAAAATCAAATATGCACTGATGCCATAATACAAAAGTATTAATTCTACCTAGATAAAACCCCTCTGGGCTGGGACTAGAGTTAACACCCACGTCAGAGCAAGAGACATGGCTCCGACTGTTGAAGATGTGCAGCTGTATACAACAAAGCCCTGCACAAACCGGGGTACGTGAGGGGTAGCTTAATCAAAAAATTGGGAATGGTAAAAATATCACCAACTGATGGGGAGAAGCTACACGGAAGCCTGCCATCTGCCTGGGGGTGGTTCTGGGTAGAAAAACAAAGTTAACGGATTCCTCAAGCCAGTACTGCATGCTTGTGGGGTCCAAATTTACAGCACCACATGGTGTAGGAATCTCAAGCCAAAAGTTCCCATAAAAATGGCCAATGTCTGGGGCCCCGGAGAAGCACATGTAAAACTACCCTACAAGGGACTTCTGTGTCTGCCCACAAAGGATTACTGTTATGGAAATTGTCCTCCCACCATAAACAACTAGAAAACCAGGCAAAATATATGGGGGGAAAAACTGTTTAAAAAAGGGCACTGGCAGGGTGCCTGGGTGGCTCAGTCGTTAAGCGTCTGCCTTCGGCTCAGGCCATGATCCCAGGGTCCTGGAATTGAGCCCTGCATCAGGCTCCCTGCTCGGTGGGAAGCCTGCTTCTCCCTCTCCTACTCCCCCTGCTTGTGTTCCCTCTCTC